ACATCCCTAAATGTATTCGGAGATCAACCCATAATAAATTCAAAACGTTTTCCCTGAATGGTACCTGCTAATTTAGAACCTATAGTTGTATATGAAAAATCACATGCATTTCCCTTGTGCGTGTAACTTTGCATGAATCACTTTTAACTCGTAAGAAGCTGTAGCATAGAAAGGTGTGGAACTAGCAAAAATATGTTATGTTTTTTAGAGAATTTAAGTGTGCTTATTATAAACAAACGTATAACCATAGAAGTCTTTCATCTCACCCATATACCAGCAAATAGATAACAAACCAGGATCTGATTGTTTGATTGTACCATTTTCTGCAGTTATTAAAGCAATTTTCATGTATGATTCTAGTAAAACAGTTTGAAATTTAAAAAGAAAAAATTGATATAAACAGGCAATCTTTGGAATTATCTCCTGCATAGGCAGTATCTCACCTTGTATAAGGTGAGTTCTACACCTTTATTTTTTTTAATTTCTGAAGAAACAACTAAGCGCTGGAGCCTGGACCTCCTTACACAGAACTCCCTGCCAGGCAGAGCAGGTTGCAGTTTCTTCTCTGCAGTCATGGTTCCTATGAACGAGAGAGCAGGAGGCTGCCTCAGAGTTCACACCAAGGCACTGAGCAGCCCCAGGTCTGGCAAATCCCAGAAGACTGAAGGACATCAGAGGTTTTACCCATCTTGGGGACTGAGTGCTTGCAATGTCTGAAATGCTGCAGCCCTCCCAAAGGAGCTGTGTTTTAAACACTGACCACAAACAGGAGGTGATTCCTGGAATAAAATTCGTTTTTACTGGGACAACAGGGTTGTTCTTCATTCAGAAACACCTGCTGCAATGTTTTATGAGCTTGCAGGCCAAAGGGGCAGTCCCAGCCTCATGGCAATAACCCCCCCCCCCGGCTCCAGTTCTGGTATCCTCATACTCATATCCTCATGATCCTGCTCACTAAATTCACAGTAAAACAGTTGCCTTTTTTTCCTGAATTAGTTTTCTGCTGGCTTAGCAGAGTATCAGAAACATGCCAGAGCCAACACAAGGGAAACAGCAGCAGGACATGGCACAGAACAAATCGAAGGCATGGGAACCAACCCTTTTGGTAGCAGAGAACCAAGAGATGAGTTTCACCACCTTCAGGACACAGTTTTGTACAATTTAATCTGACCAAGACTGAGGCTGCTGCAGTCCCACCTTGCACTGCAGGCTTTCACGTCCCAGCACTGTCCTCTATGCCTCTGTGGTTACACACCATTAATCAGTTCAGGCAGCTGAATGAGCTGAACTGCAATCACCTCTCCACCGTCAGGTTTTGGCCAGCTGAGGTCCCTGAACTGACTCACCATGTAAACTCAGGCTCCGGGCATAGAAGAGAGCGGGAACATGCCAGAAGGGGCAGTTGAATGGGATCAGCAGCCCTGGCTGATGTCAGCTCCAGCCCCTGCGCAACCATACAGACATAGAAAGGAATCCTCGGGTCATTTAGCAGTTTATTATCTTCCTTTCCACTTAATACCTAAGACCCTCACACATACTCTAAAATTGCAGCATCCTAGAAGCTACCTGTGCAATACAAGACCAAGCAAGGGTGGAATGATGTTCCCACTGCCACACAAGTCTCGAGGGTCAGATGCAGGGCCAGGTACCTGAAAGCATCTGAAGGAATGGATCCCAGACTCAAAGGATGCCCAGAAAACCTATTCCAGGATTACACTACATGATGTGAAGTTTCCCACACTATACGGCAAAATCTCCTGACTAGTATGGAAGGCATAAGAAACATGTCTTTCTCCATTTTTTTGTGGTAATTGGCCATTTTTCCAGATGCCCAGTATCCTCTCCAAAAAAGGAGACAAATAGAAGGAAGTAACTTACCAGCAATTAAGAGAGTATTTTTGAAATGTGTTGTCCATATGCACTTCAGCTCAGAAACTTTTCTGACGCACAACCTACAGCATGCATATGTTCTCCCCTTCCCCTCTCCCTCCCGTGACCCATACAGGGCCATACTGGCTGTGTGTGGTAATGTCCTTTGGTCTCTTCTCAGCCACAAAATCCCAATAGGCTACACAAAGCCTGAGGGACAGAATGGAGAAGCCGTGGCTTGAGCCAACACATCTTGAAGAACTCCAGCTATGAGTAACTTCTCTTTTTCCCTTGAGTTTTCTTCCACAGCACATATGCACAGGGAAAAACTCTAAGCAATGTTTATGCTACCACAGGTCATCCAAAGCTGGTCTGTGTGGCTTCAAGGTGAGAGACAGTTGAGGACCACCCTGCAGATGAGGAGGTTCCACTTTAGCCCACAAAATTCATGCTGTAGCACCAGCAAGGAGACACTGAGCACTGAGACAGCACCTGCAGCATCCCTTGCTGAACCGACACCAGGTGTCCACACCACACATAACACTCCAACACCAAGCTCCAGGGCAGAATACAAGGTCAGGTTTTAGCAAATGCAACTTCAGAAGACATTTTGTACCAGCAACTACAGCCTGAGCTATCAGGTAGCCCTGTGCATTTGCATCAAAAAGGAGCTGCTCAAGCCTGTTTTCCTGGAGACCAATGTTTCTTATTGCCCCATTCCTCAGACCCAACTAGTCCTTGGCACATGCAAGGCAGTTGAAAGGACAGGCCAGACAGATTGCTTGGTAGACAATCCAAAACACATGTCTGTTACATGAGACCTGTACATGAGACCTTGCAACTTGGTACCTGCCCAGGGACCTGACATGTGTCTATGGCAGGAAGGAAACACATCCCTAGGTAATAAAGCACAACTCTCAGCACAGCTAGTGAAGAAAAACAAACTCAGCAGGACACATACAGAGAAACACCATTTAAGGGAGAAAAAGTCAGGCTAAAAATGTTACACCTCTAGATCACTAAATGTCAAAAAGTCTCTGGCACAGCCCCACCTCTTGGTATCACAGAGCTTGACATAGATTAAATTGGTTTTCTGCTTCTAACAGACTTCAGGCTGGACAACATCATATGCAAAGCAGGGGCTGCAGGGGATGGCAACCACCTGGTGTATGCTACAGACAGGGGTGTCAATATAACAGATTAGTTAGATGACCTTCTAATATTTATTACAGTTCACAGGGTACATGCAGTCGTACTATCATCTACAGGGACTGCATGCTAAACCATTCATCAGAGGCAATTGCTTTTACAAGTTGCTCTGTCACCAGGTGATGAAACTGCTGTGCCAGCTTCATATGCAGTGCTGAAACAAGTCGCCACATGCACCCTCTTCGTGGGCATCACAGGCTGGCACCACAGATCACTCACCACTTTGCTACCTTTACTACCCAAACATGACTGGTCTGGACTGGGGTGAGGCTGTTTGGAGTCACAAAGCAAAGACACTGTACACACCGGGTATTACACAATACTTCCAGGTCTGTGCTTCCAGGAAGAATTTGTACAAGAAAAGAATGACCCTGAAGCCTAAAAGAAACACCTTATTTCAGGAAAATGAAGTACATTTTAGAAGTACATTTTAGAAAGAAGTCAAAAGCAACTACTATATGTGTCAGAGAGCACCCATGCTCTCTGTGGAGGAAAGGAGAGGAAAAAGATGAGCTGGTGAACTCGAAGGTGGGTCTAGGTAAATGGCTGTAACAGTTTGCAAGAGAAATAAATATAATTTTAAATGGAGAGGAAAGAACAGGGTGAATCTCTGAAAAGGTCCGATTTGTCAGGAAGGTGGAGCTCTACGGAGAAAGAAAAGACCATCAAAGGCAGCAGTGAGGAATACCTGGTCTGGAGGGCACTGGGGTGGCAGAGGGCCATTTACAGCACAAAGATCCCTGCACAGAGATTCATTCCAACTCCAGCAAGCACGGTCACAGAGCAGAGGATCCATGAAGGATGCTGCAAAGCAGGCCTCTTGCTGCTGCTGTCCCTCAGAACACCAGAGATGGCCACATTGGGGTGGCCCGTGGGCACGCAGGGGAGTGCAGCTGCATGTGATGTGAACAGCACTCACAGAGTCACTCACTAGTAACTGCAGTTCTCAGAGCAGTCTTGCACACATGTCCTCTCCCCTCAGTTCTGCACCCTACCGAGTTGCTGCATCTGAGAGGAACATCAGGTGTGCCCTTCCCTCTCCATGGAGCATGAGGCACGGGAGGACCCGCGGGGGCTGCAAAGAGAGCCCAGGCACTGGGGTCATGGGCCTGGAGTCTGTGTGCATACCCACAGAGTGAACAGCAAAAAGACAAACAAACACTCGAAGCAGAAAACAACTGAGCTACCACTTGTCATGTCACTAAAAATCACTAAGGCGATGCGTGACTTAGAAATACACTGGTTTCACTTTTAATTATTTTCTGACTTTTTAAACTAGTCGAGGCCCCCCAGTTTCTTCCCCACTCCTGTGCCACTAAAGTTCACACAAGAAATTTTGGAAAATAGATGCTGGACTTACAGAAGCCCACAGACATGGAAAACAACCCCAACCACCTCAGATAATGTGGGAAGGAGGAAGGGTACCTAGAGGGATGCTTACTGGCTTCCCCCACTCTCAGGTACCTGTGGCAATCTTTTCTCTGTGCTGTCTGCTCAGGCTGTAAGCTCTTTGCAGCATCTGTGCACGCCCTGATCCCACACAGGTCCTGGGTGAGCCACACATGAGGGAACAAAAAACAGATCAGTGCTTCAAAAAGAGAAGATGGCTGCTCAGATCCAGTACAGCAGGGCAGAGAGTTGAAGTGGCATCAGGATTTCATTTTGGAGAACTGGATCCCTCTAGTGAAGCGCTCAGCGCAGCCTCAGCACAAAAAGATGCGAGCTACTAGCAACTCTAGCCCTGGAGTTTGCACACAGATCTTAAGAACAAATACGAAAGCTTTGCTTCCAGGCAGGAAATCTCTTTTACCACACCTTTCTGATTTACACCAATGCTTGATACACACCACATGTGTCCCCTCCTTCCTTCACCCACATTTGCAATGGTTCTGTTCCATATTTTAGTGATGAAAAGTTAAGACCTGTGGTTACAACTTCTATGAGAAGCTTCATTTCGAAGGGCTGCTACATTTCAACTTTACTGCCACAAGGAAAACTGAAAAAAAACAAAAGCTTTCAGTCCTTTCCTAACATGAAAGCTGTTGTGAAGACATTTAATAAGTGTAAGTTTTCTCCTGGCTGCTGAAATATGGAAAGTGGGAAAATTTACTTCTACAAATGTTTTGTACGAGTCCCACCCTCAATTTTATGCACTACACTTAATTTCTTCCATTCAAGGTGGCTACAGCAGGTTTGGTCAGCATTTTCTCCTGAAGTGCATCTCAGTAGGCAGAGCTTACAACAAACACTTTGCCTGTGATTTGTTATGAGGAGAAGAAAAACAAGGAATAACATCAGGATTGCTCCAGCTAGGAGATCGAGCAAAAGACAGAGCACGCAAACTTACCCACCTGCCTCTGTGTGGGAATAGAGGGACATTCATGAGATCAGATGTTACGTGGGGGAATGGCAGGAGCAAGAGCCATCAGAAAACTGGCAAATGCATCTGCTTTTTCCATTCAGCACTGTGCTGCTGACTAGATCTCTGCAAAACTTCCTCTGTTCTACAGACCTGCCCACTGGGATCTGTCTGGCATTAATTGGCTTTCAAAATTACTTATGGAAATATCTTCAGCTAATTTTTGTAAGTCATTGAGTAAGAAAAAAAAAAAAGGGGAAATTTTTTTTTACAAAAGCAAAATAGAAAAGTCAATAAATTCTTGCATGTGGACATGGTATTCTGCTTCTTAAAATAAACGCCTGAGGACGGAGACTTGGCCCTGACTTTTCTACGAAGTTTCTTTGTGTGAATTAAGGGCCGCAAAAGGTGAAAGCCTTTTGTGCAGCCGAGGACCGCTGGGGAGCAGGGCAGGGTCGCGGGGAAGAGGGGAGCAGCCGAAAGCCCTGGGCCAGGCGGTAACTTTCGGCAAGACCTACGATGGCAGAGCGGTCCGGAGGGACAGCGGGAACGGCCCCGGCCGGGCACCGGCAGCGGGGACCGAGCGGCCCAGCTGCGACCGAGCCCGGCGGGGAGTCCCGGGGCTGCGGCGGGCAGAG